CATGGGCTCACAATATCACGCGTGATATTGGAACAAAATATCATGCTTGATATTGATTTTACAAGCTCCTTTGATATGGTGCGACTATTCACAACGTGCAAACATCAAGCTGAGAGTTGACTCGACACAAAAATTATTCCATTGCACATCGTTTTCTTAGAACGAGAAAGCATAGTTTGCTATCTCTTTTTAATCTTTGTTTGAAGTTTTTGTTGCATTCGGGTGTAAAGCAAAAATCATTAAACTCAATCTTACCACAGTTTGGTGAGATTTGCAGTTGGTGAGTTTTGTTAGCTTGATATTCCGAGCTGCGATATCATAGCTTGCAAAATCAACCGCAGTTGCTTGCTTGTTGATTTTTGTCTACGAAAATCAAACGTAATCTTGGGCGTTGGTGAGATTGATTTTTTGAAATTTTCCCTACACTGGTCAGGTGGAATTATAATGAATAAATAAATAAATATCTACCTCGATATAGTGTAACCTTGAAACAACGCATCTCGAAACAATTTCTGAGATCTTAAATATATGTTAGAGCTTTATGTTAATTGGTTTGCGTTGCACGTGACCAACACTTTGAAAGGGAATATAAAATTTATAAAAATGTATGATTATTTTATGGTCAGTTCAAATTGCATCAAATTTGCACCGAAAAGCTTTAATCAACTGACAAGGTAAACAAAATTAACATTCATGATTTCCCCAGGTACATTTAAACACGTTTATCTATTAATTTTTCAAAATTTTTAATTGATTCGATAATACATTGCGTTTTTTTACAAAATGTTTTAAGTCCTCGAATTTTTGAAAATATAGCAGTATGTGTATTGAGGGGATTCAAGTATGTATTGTGGATCAACACTTAATACTCCCAATTGCTCTTTCATTCGGTATTGATAATTTGGTTTTCCGAGAGACTTATAAATTTTGTATGAAAAACGGCTATCTAACATGAAACTTTAGTGTGCTAATTTATTAGGTAGAGAATGATCTTTAGAAGAGGGTAAGTAGATAATTTCGTTAGAGTACGGCAGTATGAAAATTCAATAGAAGTTGAAAATGAGCGAAGGGCCATGAATGCGACAGTGCAAATCAATATATTTAGAAGTTAGGGTTATAGCGGCACCCCAGCAGGCCTGGGCTCAATCCCAGTCGGCGCCGTCGGGATGATCTGAGACATAACATCTCTGATCACGCCTTCCGTTGGTCCCCGGTTCATGAGTTGAGGGGTCGATAGGCATGTGTGGGAGCTGCCTCCTTGGCATCGGTAGCATTGGCACTCATCACGGAAAACAAGATCGACGAAAAACAAATTGATGAAAAAAAAAGTTATGGTCATATGGTTTATATATGCATTTCTGGATCAATAAAAACATGTCACATGTAAACAATAATAAAGGCAATTATATTAAAAACTGTGTCGATCAAGATGAGATTTAAAATATATCTTATGGTATAATAATCTTTTAAGAGACAGCAACAACAATCCAGATATCTGGAAAACCGTTTTCCAGCAACCTGGTAGCTGAATCGATAATGTTTTGGCATATTTTTGCTATGCTCATGATTGTATGCAATTTAGCAGAAATAGCGTTCTCCTAGCCAACCTTTAGGAATGGATCATTTTCCCGGTGATTCCACTTATTCAGAGGTCCGTTCACTGGCCACCCAGTAGCGGAATCGATATGGAGATGCTGGCAGTTTGGAAGAAAAAAAAACCCAGATCTTTATGTCTACTTTCAGGAATTAACCATTTTGTTGGTGATTCTGGATATCCTCAGGACCGTTTTCAGACTACCCGGTAGCAGTATCAATATGGTGATGGCATATTTTTCCTCTATGCTCATGATCGTATGTAATTTAGAAAAATTCACGGATCTCCAGGTCTACTTTCAGGAATTGACCATTTTCCCGGTGATTCCGTATATCCACAGGACCATTTTCAGTCCACCCGGTAGCAGGAATTGCCATATTCTCGGTGATTCCGGATATCCAAAGGACCATTTTCTGTCAACGTGGTAGCAGAATTGATATGGTGATGGCTTATTTCCTCTATGCTCATGATCTTATGCAATTCAGGCAAAATCGTGAATCTCTAGGTCTTCTTTCAGGAATTTATCATATTCCCGGTGATTCCGTATATCCACAGGACCGTTTTCTGGCCACCCGGCAATGAAATCGATTTAGTTATGGCATATTTTCTCTATACATACAGCATACAAACGCAATCTACTCCAGATCTACTATCAGGAAGTGCCACATTCCAGGTGATTCCGGATATCCAGAGGACCGTTTTCTGGCTACCCGTTAGCAGAATCGATATCGTGATGGCATATTACCACTATACCATTGACCATTCTCACGGGTTTTCCAGTTCCGACTGGCCAACCATAGATCCAATCGGTTCCCTGTCTGTTCCGTTCGAAAGTAGATAGTTATTCCTTTCGAATAGTGGCTCAATCTTAAAATTTGATAACCAAATTGCCGAGAAGCAGTCATATCACAGGTCCAATCTGGTTTCTTACTGTTTCAAATGGAAGTAGATAGTTATACCTTTCGAATAGTGGCTGAATCATAATGATTGATCATCGCATTGTTGAGAAACAGTCATGTCAACCATGCATCGACACGCTGTTTGCAGCCTTGGCACTTTGAGGAAGTTTCAATGGCTTGGGGTTCTGTCAGGTAATCAAAATAAAAACAAGAACATCATGCTCTTAGGGGATCCATTCTCTTCCTAGCATCTCGAGCTTCTCAAGCGGACGTTTTGCCGGCTCTCAACAACCAATACATGAATTTGTATATTTTGTGCACAATGCACTCTTTTTCCAGGGAAGTTGAGAAAGTTTTTCTAGACCGGATGGGGAATCGAACACACCGCTTCTGGCAGGGTTATACCATACCTTAACTGATTATACTATCTTAGGACCCCACTGTCTCAACATATTTTGGCTTTTATAGATTAATTAACTATTTATAATATTTCGTACGGCACTTAAGAACTTGTCATTCCCATCGGCATCAGTTGATTTTGTCTTCATTCACAAAAGAAATCCCACCGAAATTAAAATCGATTCAAAAGCGCAAAACTGGGAGGAACAATAAGAAAAAAAAACAGTGCTATTCATCACCACAAACCTCTGTCTACAAACCAGTAAATACCCCCTGAAGAGCGTGGTACGGGGGTGGCATCGAAAATAAAATTCATTCATAAATTTTGTCACACACTCTTTCCCGCAGTAGCAAACTAGCCATAGCCATGGACCGGCCATTTGAGACGGTGAGCAGAAGTGGGTGATCGTCAAGTGGAGCGAGGTGAATCGTCATTTCGTTACTTTTGAGAAGCGCAAGGAAAACAAATCACGACGGCGCTGTCAGCGATGATGATGATGATGATCATCATCATCATCATCAGCGCTAAGAAGCGTGGATCGGCATGATGCGTTCAAAAACGGCTCGCTTTCATTACCCACCGACTGACTGCCGGCGCAATCGAACACATTCAGGTGAGTGGCGGCAGTGAAATTTTGCACCCAGCCCCGTTTGGACAGCTGGCTGGGAGTGCGAGTAATAGAGCCGGGATCATCTAACAGCTTGTCCGGATGAAACAAATTGAAAACTGAACCGAGACATGTGTTTCAATTTTCGGACGGTTTGCTATTCATCGTCTTGTCCTTGTGCGAATGGCGGGGGGTGGTGGTCCCTGGAAAGAAGGGACGCGCATGTGGTAGGGTGTGAAATTATGGGAGGGTGCGAAAATATGAAACCAATAAATAGTCGCACATATACTGTATAATTTGCTACGATCGGCAAACAGTGCTTTCAAAGTAATTTTTATTACGCGAGACAACTAATTTGCTTTGCGGTTGTTTATGGCCAACGCGGAGCATTGTTGGAATTGCTCACAGCACAACGAAACAGTATAGCCGTAAATCAAGGGAGCACATGATGGCAATCTTGGAGCACATTATTCTCCGAAGAGATGATTTAATGGTTCTCAAGTGGCACCAATTGACTTTGCTAATGTTTTGTCAGCTCAGTAGATTTTGGCACTAAAGCACTGCTTTCTTTTTGTATGGTTGGTGACGTGACTGTGATACGATTCATCTTCTTCTTTTGCTATTACGTTCCAACTGGAATATTAAGTCTGCTCTCAACTTGTTTGTGATCTTTTCGTACATACTTCCATGCTTATTAAGTGAGAGCTTTGTTTGCCAATTAATGCATGTTGTGTGTCAAGCACAATGATACTCGATGCCCAGGGAATCCGAAAAATTTCTTGACCGGTTAGGTATTTGAACCACGTTTGGATCAATACAATAGAAAAGAACAAAATATATGATTTTTTTTAATTTTAGCCCATTCACAGTGAGCTGGCATTCAGTTTAGATTAAAATCCTCATATGTTTCAAATATAATGGACAGAGTAAGACTGCCACTGCCTGTTTTGATTGGCTTATTCCATTTAATTAATTTACCAGGTTTTTCCCCATCGATCTGGAACTGATAAGTAAATTGAAAATCAATCGCATTTGACTGTGTCGATACACGTACATCAATCGTAATAGGATTCTGTGGGACAAGCAGGGGCCCGGGCTAATGGCTCGGACCAATGTTTTATACGATTTAATTTACAGTCATTGGCCTTTATCGAGCTCTGCTGATTGATACGCAATATTGACATATGGACTCTGCTTGTGTGTAAATATTTGTTTGTCCAATAGTCACGCGGGAAGCACCACACTATACCACTAAACGATTCAGATGCAACCAAGCTGCTAGGGATCTGCGTTTGAGTGGTTTTATCGATATCGGGAAGAAAGGTTCGATTTTCTGTTGCTTTCGATTCGCTCAAGTGCCCCCGGTGATGTACTGAATGGCCTTTCGAAGCTCTGAGTCAATCCCTGGTGCACTTAGTCTATCGCTTGTACTACCGTTGAAAGGTTTCCGATATAAATAAACTGATGGAAATGTATTTTGATTTGCTCTTTTCGTTACAGGAACCGGTGTACCTGGATGTTACAAATTAAGCGAACGCCGCGGCGTATCCGTTGATCTTGCGGACGTGCAGATCAGGCAAAGGCAGATTTTTAATTGGACCTTAAACAACGAACGAAAGTTCAAACGGTGTTCCCGGTCGGTTGGCGTTCTAAGATGAACATCAACTGCTGACACACATCGTCTGTACGGGGCGTTGAGACTTGCTATGACATAGAACTGTCTCTGACGACGACGACGACGACGACGACGACTACAACGACGACAGCGGTGAGAGATACGGCGCGAAAGATCGACAACAGGTGATGTCAACGTCAGAAGACCGGCGCAGTAATTTAATTAAATCCCAGTACGACGCTATCACGTCGGGCTCGGCGATTGAACTGCTGACGGTTGCGGCCACGGAACGCCATGGTCTTTGCGAGGCAGTGGAGCAAGATGGTAGTGCGAACGAAAATAGCCATCACATTAGCGGCGGAACGCGGAACGAAGACCAGAGTAAAACTGTAAATGCGCGACGACGGTGGAAGTTGTTGGCCAAGGCACTGCGGCACGACTCTAGTGAGGATGATCAGTTTGCGAAGTTTAACTTGATCGAGTTTGATCGAGCATACGACGAGAAGGATGAAAATATATTCGTCTACAGGTTGGCCGATCGGTACCGGTTGAAGATTCGGCTGATCGGTGAACGACCTTGGACAGCATCGGAGCTGATTGGATTCAACAATACGGGGAACATTTGTGTGTGGCCTTCCGAAGAGGCCTTGGCCTACTACATTCTGTCACGATTGAATATTTTTGAAAACACTAATGTTCTGGAGTTGGGTGGTGGAATGACCTGTCTCGCAGGGCTTGTCTTGGCCAAATATGGCAATCCGTCTTTTGTCCACGTTACCGATGGAAACGATCTATCGGTCGAGAACGTTAGAAAATCGCTGAACATGAACAAGTTCAATAGCACAATTAAAACCTCCGTCCTGAAATGGGAATCGGTTTGCCTCGATCAATACGCTAAATATTCCGATCGTGCCCGGTACCAGTTCATCCTTTCGGCGGACTGTCTCTTCTTCGACGAGTCTCGTTCGCACCTAATCGATGCCATCTGGTTGTTTCTGGCAGATGAAGGAGTGGCTCTCATAACGGCTCCCCGCCGGGGTCACACCCTAACACACTTTCTCGACGAATGCGTCGCCCGCGGCTTCTACTACGATCTGCTGCACTGCTACAACGAGGCAATCTGGGACAAACATCTGGAGCTGATCAAAACCGACGGGTACGATGAAAACATCCACTATCCGTTGTTGATAAAAATGTACAAAAAAGATTACGATTTACGGCATATCTGATTGCGGTTGTTAATTCCACGCGAAAATGTTTAGGGCATATGGGAGCCATATGGGAGCCAAGTGGTATTGGTGATCTCACTGCACACAAGTGGTAGAAATTCTAGGATCGTAAAAATAAACCGAATGCGCTTACGTACTTTGCAACTTTGCAGATAGGTGTTCTAGTCAATTATGATGGTTCTATAAACGCTAGAGCGAGCGTTACGTTGATTATTGATAGGATTAGCTAGGATTTAGGAATAAATTAGAAATCTCGTAGACACCAGGAAGAAGAAACGCGTTGAACCGTTATGAGAGGATATTCCCACAGACTGACCTTTCCCGTTGTTTTGTAAGTGTAGATTTGTATGCAGTTTGGAAGCATGGGTCGGTTTTGTAAGGTTGTTGAAAGGTAAGAATAAGTTTCGGAAAACGTCGTTTCTATATGGCCGGATATCGGTTTAGCAAAGTTTACATAATTTTGAAAAAAAAATAAATAGACAAGCGGGTGTCGCCCTACTGATGCAGTAACAATCAGTTCTGATATAAATCATTTCTTCTACACTCAACTTAGCTGAAAATGAAAACAACCTTAACAGATAGACCAACTACCTGCACGAATTTGAATTTAGACATAGCAGCATTCTCTTGATCAAGGCAACCTCTGAGTACCGAAGTCGAGATTTGTTTTGTTTCATTCATGGCTTTCATTATCACCTCTGTTGTTGTCAATATTAATATTCGTCTTCAACTTGGTGGGGATGATTTTGAGGATCAAATTTAAAATGACTATTTCCATTTTACACAAATATTGCGCCGAAGAACGTGTCGTGTTGGTTTTTACAAATTATTACCTCATGCTGAATTGATGATAATATACCGTATAGTTAGAAGCGTTGGCCGTGTTGACATCCCACGTTTTGATTTTCAAAAGTTAAGATAAAAGCAGGTGAATATAAGGAATATATTGCTTTCAAAATCTTCAATGCTTGATAAAAACGATACGATCATGGATCTTTTTTCATAACTTCAACAATTTATTCCACAGTAACCTATTGAAATCTTAATATGTTGTCTGAATTTCGCAATGATTGTTTTTGATCTCTTGTTGGATAAGCTGATCAAATTTGGTTAAACATCTTGCAACGATTTGGAAGATAATTGAAAAAAAAAGGTTTTATCAAAACAGCTCTAGATAAGCAACTATATTGATGTACATATACAACTCTATCCTCTATTGTACCTTTCGAAACAAAGTATTAGAAATCATCACAAGTACCAAACCATAATTTGAGAACTGAAGAGCAAAGTCGGAGAAATTTATAGTTTTCAGTGCCCCAGAATCATAAGAAATGTTCCAAGGCTCCTTAGTCAAACCATATACTGAGCCTAATGAGTCGAATTTTATGTTGATTTTTTTGAAATAGGAAAACTGATTTTTTAAATTAAAAAAAAAAACATAGCTCGCGGTATTTTTTTATATTTTAAGCTAAGAAATTCCGGTATTTTTGGTATTCGGGTCGGTAGGTTTTGAAGTCCGTGAGGTCCCAAATTCACAGCAAAACAGGTTCATATGACATATTTTACTTTATTTATCACTTTCAGTCACATTTAAACGTTTAAGGTTCAATTTATTGGGACGCATTTTCTTAAAATTCAAATGCAGATTTTTTCAACGCATCATTTCAGATTACCGTCAATTTTTTTGAATTAATTATTTAATGAATTTGAATTTTTTGAATTACTTAATTTTAAATTAAATTCAAATTCAATTCAAATTCAATTCAAATTCAATTCAAATTAAATTCAAATTCAATTCAAATTCAATTCAAATTCAATTCAAATTCAATTCAAATTCAATTCAAATTCAATTCAAATTCAATTCAAATTCAATTAAAATTAAATTCAAATTTAATCAAATTCAATTCAAATTCAATTCAAATTCAATTCAAATTCAATTCAAATTCAATTCAATTTCAATTCAAATTCAATTCAAATTCAATTCAAATTCAATTCAAATTCAATTCAAATTCAATTCAAATTCAATTCAAATTCAATTCAAATTCAATTCAAATTCAATTCAAATTCAATTCAAATTCAATTCAAATTCAATTCAAATTCAATTCAAATTCAATTCAAATTCAATTCAAATTCAATTCAAATTCAATTCAAATTCAATTCAAATTCAATTCAAATTCAATTCAAATTCAATTCAAATTCAATTCAAATTCAATTCAAATTCAATTTATTAATATTTTGTCCAACAGCATCTGCATCTTTATAAACAGTCAGATATTCTTATTCGCGGGTGGTTTTTTTTGTCCGTATTCATTTTTCTGGATTCCAATGCTATTCTTTTCAACGAACTAACGGGGTCAAAATATTCGGAAAAATGAATGCGGACGAAAAAAAAAAGCATCCTGGAGTAAGGATTTATCGCTGTACCTATTTAGGTCCTAATTTATTTGGATTATCTAGGAATTAATATATTTTTTAAAAGTTAAAGAACTTGATAATGTTTTGGAGGAGCAGAATATTGAATGTTTTGATCTGGTGATGATCTTTAAAATTTGACCAAGCTCCAGAATCCTTAAACTTTAGTTAGGCCCAATATCTTTACTTTTATTTTCTTCTGGGGTCTTGCCATTGCTTCTAAATTTATAATCTGCAACTCAAGTCAAAATTAAGGTCATTTAAAATTTGCCTTAACCCAAATCTACTGACCAATTTTTTTTTTCAATGACCAAAAATATAACTCAACAACGAAAAAAAACGCATCGCTGATTTTTTATATGTTGTGTGAAAAAGCCTAAATTTTCAACGAAAAATATAGAAACATATTGCGCCCTCTGAATACAAACAATACAAAATCATCATTTTTTAAATAAACTATTTTTAATTACCTTTCATTTGATGTTTTGATCTTTTAAATCGGCCAAGTGGTTCAACATTTATGAATTTTTGAACCCTCCTTGCATGGAAATGGTCATTCTTAAAACAAACAAAAAAACGATCTAATATTTTGCAATAAGCAACAAAACCACAAATTTCAGCTTTGGAATGGCTGAATTAAGGGGGCCCAGGAATAATCAAACATTTAATTTTGAAAAATTCTGTGAAAGAGAATGATTCTCAAATAAATTCTTGAGTACATTCCAATAAAATCCATCTTCTGCCATCTGTATAAATAAAATATATTGTTTGATTCACATTTTAATATCTCAAATATATCTGAATATACCTCTGCGATATTTCGAGGAATTAAAGTCTATTTGATTTAAATTTTGAATAATTGATGACATTTTGCGTTCACTTGCGCATTTTTTAGAAAATTCTTTCAGGAAATCAAATAGTGGGGGTGAGCCAGTAGTGGAGGTACTAAGCCAATTTATCAATTAAAAAATAAATATCAGATGTACACACAATTGTTATACGTCAATCTATAGCTTTCAACCTCTATTTTGATGGAAAATTATTCCATTGTAATAAAATTGCATAAAATTTTAGAAAGATCGTCCTCCATTAAAAGGAACACTGTTCCAGTAGTTGTGGTAGTTGCTAACTTTGGTTCCTATAATAGTTGAATGCGTTGGTTTCTTATGGGTTCCACTATTATAGGAACATTACCGCAACTATAGGTGAAAAAGAGTGAAATTCTAAAGGAAATTTAATCATTTTCCGTGATGGGCATATTTTATGTTTGATATATGCAAATATGCTTTGTTTTAGGAGAGCTCCCGATGAAAAATAATCTTATCCGGGTCCTCCTCACTATTCCGGCACAACCTCCATACCGCAACACAACTATTACTGGAACACCTACCCTGTTTTTTTTTTTTCAAATTCCAAGTGATTTATATGTTTCAGTACTCTAAAAATAATAGCATTGATCTGGAAAAGATTGGATTGATCAGTACCGATCAAGAAAAAATTAAAAAAAGTATTCTTTTGAATGATTGCTCAGAATATAATACTAAAAATTTGAATTTATGGCAAATTTTATAAAAATTCGAATATCTCACTTGTTTGAAGATGTACAGCTTCATCATCTTCTTCCACAACTTGTATTCTACGTTTTACAACTATTGTTTTTAAAAACAGCAAACCTCTATCTTGTGAAATATCAAAGTTTGTATCGCTGCGCCATCTTTACGGCGAAAAATTGAACTTTTTTTTATCCACCAAATTGTAGTATGTACTAATAAATCCAAGAAACTTTATTTTTTTTTTTTTTTTTATCTTTATTAAGGAGACTTTCAGCCGTTGGCTGGCTCGTCTCCGCAACTTTAAACTTTACTGAAGACGTCAACTCAATAGGATGCAATCCCAGTGTGTTATTATTGGTTTCCTACTAGATTAAATTCATGGCCCACTGTGCATTGTAGTCGAAATATGCATATCTGTCAAGGATCAGCAATTAAGATAGTGGAATTTAATAAAAATTTGGCTAATTCTTCAGGATTCTAGGATATACTTATACCCTAATATGTCTCGTTTTTTTGGTACCGCTCCCTTTATACATTAGGCTATTATTCACAATTTTGGTCATAAAATGCCAACCAACCATTTGGCATTATTGTTGTGCAAGGACCATTTGTTGAAATGACTCAAGGATCATTTGTTTAGAACATTTAAAAACGCCATGTCGATGTTTTGCACCTCATTTCGGTAATTTTTCTAATACTTAGGCGTTGTCTTTAGCACGCGGAGCACCTTCTAGCTGCAAGCTCGCTGATCTCATACACGCCTGCGGGCTGTACAGCTTCATTAAGATTTTTTTTTTTTTTTTGTCTTTATTTTAGAGATTTTTAGCCTGAGGCTAGTTCATCTCTTAGCTTCATTAAGAGAGCGGTACTTAAAAAAAGTCACGTGTTAGAGCAAGCCTATATTACAGACTTTAGCCTAGGAGACTATGAGCAAGTCAAATTTGGGTTAACATTTTCTGTCTTAGAAAGTCGTATTGTACAGTGTACTTATTCTCGTCAAACCCGATGATACATTTTAAGTATTAGAATGTACCAAGATCCAGGGCATCATCTGAATGAAATTTCCTATTCTCATTGGCGTAGCTAATGGGGGTGCCTAGGGGACCAGGTCCCATCTAGAATGTTTGTCTTCTTCTTCTTCTTCTTCTTCTTCTTCTTCTTTATTTATTAAGAAACTTTCAGCATTGGCTGGTTCATCTCTGGAAACCCCAGAAGGGGGTATCTCCCACTCTTGAACGATCTAACTCCCCTACAGATTTTTTTGAAGATTAATATAATTAAAATTGTTGGTATTAGTGAATTCCCCAATCATATCTGGAGGCGGCCTGGATCATTTTGGAGGGAGCTAGGGACCCTAGGCACCCCCATTAGCTACGCCAATGCCTATTCCAGGGATCCATCAAAATAATTGAGCAGTTCCTCGCCAAATGACAAATCGATCAGACTTGACTTCCTCCAATTTGCATGAAACATGTTCACATTTGAACCAAAATTCGGCCATTTTGAATCTTGCAAAACAAAAACAAAAAAAAAGTCGAGAACTTTACTTCCAATCGAAAAGACATTTGAGACATAGTTCTAGAAAAAAATAATTCTTTTCCTGAAAAAATATAAACGCTTTTGAAATTCAAGTACTTTTGTGAAAAATTCAAGTAATTTAGTGAAAAGATCCTAAAAAGTGTTTAAAACATAAATATTAAAAAAACACCCTCTTTAATCTTTCTTTTTATTAAAAAGTTCATGTGAAATGCTCACTAACATTATGTGTTGAAGTTGAAAAATTACAAATTGACAAAAATCATAGAACAACAACTACCAGTCAAATTTATAAACTTTTTGTTAAAACATTTTTTTTGATAAATTAAAAAAAAACGATTTGAAGGTCTAAATAATGATTTTCTGTGCAAAAATTTTTCAAAAATTTATGCGAAAAAAGAGATCATAGATTTTACTAAAAGTTGTTGTTCTATGATTTTTGTCAATTTTAAAGTATCCAACTTTAACATTTCAGAGATGTTAGCAATTTATGAGCTTTTCAATTAACATATTAAACAAAAAATATCTGGTCCATTTCTTTTTATTTAAGTTTTAAACTCTTTTTCACCTTAAATAACTAGAATTTTTTAAATATTTTTTTCCTACAACTTCGTCTCAGACGTCATTTCGATTGGATTTGACGTTGTCGAATTACGATTTGTTGAATTTTTTTTTGAATATGCCATTTTGAAATTTTTTGTGAGATTCAAAATGGCTGAATGTGAGCACAAATGTGAATGATTGACAAACAATAATTTAAAGTTTCATGCAAATCGGAGAAGGTCGAGACGGTGCCGCCGAGATTTTCTGAGGCATAGGAAGTAAAGCCGTTGGTCCCCGGTCCATGAGTTGACGGGTCGATAAGAGAGGTCCAGGTGTGGGAGATGCCTTCCTGGCGTCGGTAGCATTGGTACTCAGTACGGAAAACAAGATTGGCGGAAAGAAAGAAGATCGAGTCAGAAATTCAATTTCTTTTTGCTATCTGACCTGTAAATGCTCAACAGAAAAATTGAAATCTGTAAGGCTAAAGATTCTTGAAACACTTAGATTAGTACAAGTGAAATTCCATCTTTCGATACTTTCAACAACCTTAAAAAACCGGTCCACAAGCTTCCGACAACGCACATATATAGTCAAGTCGAACTAGTCATTAGGTATCATTGAAAAAAGTAGTCCATTAAGTTCTTTCTAAATCGCAAAGAATAGTTTAAACCTCTGAAAACCGTTGTTTCGTTATGGTTTAATAGTTTAAAATTGTAAGTTACACAAGTCTCCGAATCGGCAAACGGTAGGCTCACTCTCACACACACACACTCACTCACTCATTCGCAATTCCAGACACATACACACACATAGAACACTTCCACCCGAGCAACTTGCGTTACAAAAGTGCTTTGATTCCAGTCGGATTCACAGAATTATAGTGAACCTTATCTCAGCATAGGATTTTCGTAGTTATCGTTCCATAAGTTGATACGTAGCTGGTAAGGAATGCGGATTGTTGTGCGCGAGCGTTGGATTGTTTCGGTAGGAGGAAATTAGATTTTCGGAAATAAAATAGATGCAAAACTGTTATGAAATTACGAATCATTTTAGTGCTTTTAATTTAATCCGAAAAATAAACAAAACTTTGAATGTGATGTGCGAAGTGATGTTGATGAAGCTTAGTAAGGATGCAACCGTTGAGCTGGATGCATCTGAGTGTGGTAGGTGCTTTGGGTGTGGGTATGGGGTAGCATTCCAAGCCCGACTCCCAACGAGGCCGGGCCAAGACTGTGATGCGGTGCAATTGCAATCGGTTGTTGGATTTGCGGTTGCGGTTGAGGAGGTGGGGGTGGCATCAGCGATGCCAATGGCATCGGATTGTGAACACGCATGTGGATGTTTAAGCTGTCAACCGTAGCGAAAACTTTGTGACATTCCATGCATTTGTAGTTTTCCGTGGTTCGGTCGTTCAGGTGGACTTTCTTCTTGTGCGCTACCATGTCTCGGTTTCGGCTGAAACTTTTGGCGCAGATATCACAGTGATAGTTTTTGATGCCCGAATGGGAGACCATGTGCCGGGACAGGTCACCGGATGTGATGAAGGCCTTATTGCACGAGTGACAAATGTGGTCCCGTTGGTTGGAATGGATCTTCTTGTGAGCCTGAAAATTTCCCAGCGCCGAAAATTGCTTGCTGCAGATTTCGCATTGGTAGGGACGTTCCCCTGTAAGCAGAACGATAAATTATACATTATTGAGTATTTGACAATCTAAACTTATTATAATCATCACGTTGTTTCTAAATAAGAAATCGAAGATTTCCAATTATCACAATCAGCATCTTACGTCAGAATTAATTTACGAATCGCTAGATACGTAATTTTCACTTGAGTTTATAAAACTATCCTTATTGAACTGTATAGGTTGAAATAACATGATAATTTATTTCAGTGTCTGCTAATCTTACCTGTATGCGTTCGTAAATGGATCGATAAATTGTGCTTTTGTGCGAATCTCCTCGAACAGAAACTACACGCGAAAGGTTTTTCGCCACTATGAGTTCTGAAATTTTAACCTTTTAGTTATCTGTTAGGTATATGGTTGGGAACAGTGCTGGAATCTGTCATTGTCATTGGGCCAAACCATGCCATATTAACAAACATAAATTTGACTATGTCACTGAATGAATTAATCACATAGCCGAGCAGTTTTGGGTCGATCTTCCATCAGAAATTTAAAGAAAATTGGCTTACAAATTGCAGATTTTTCAGGGATAGCATGAATAAAAACTCGCTTTTCTCGATTCTCGACAGAACAAAAGAGTTCGAGTGGCAGGGTGGGTGTACCAGTTATGGCTATACGTTCCTATTATGCTGTGTTCGAATTATGGTCTATGGGATTCCCAAAAACCATATTTGACACACCTTAATAGGAACGTATAACCATAACTGGTACATCTACTCTAGGTAAGGTAGTTTTAAACTGTTCGAATGATATGGTTAATGGACAAAGGCAAATAGAACTAAAAAGGAAGAATAGCGTACGAAACATCTTCTGCTTCATCATATAGAGATTGCTGACGTTTATCGTACGCACACTATGTCACGTATACGTATACGCAAAATGTTTTCATCGGGGAACAAAAAACTTCATAGCGGAAAATTTTCCTGATAAAAACAAATCACTGACACAATCACACTTTAGAAATCTCTATATGGACAGTCTAAGTATGGAAAAATACGATTTTTGACAGTTTAATACCCGCCATTTACTCATCAGATGAAAGGCACCACTAGCACTATTATTCCTCTACAGCTTAGGTCAATGACGTAGATTCACCAATCAATACAAGTGGTTTTCTTATACATTTATTCAAATTATTGTTATCCATGCAGTTAAGATCCTGACGTTTAGAGGATCCCAAGGAAGAATTTCGATTTGAAATGTTGCTAGTATCAACATTCCAACAAACAATTTGTGCTGATTAATGGCAGATGGGCTATTTTTTAGCTGAAGAAGCATATTTTTTTTCCTGAATAAGCTCTTATTACGCTTCCAATGTTTGTTGGGATGAACGTCACTGAGTACACTTCCACTGGACAAATTGACAACTCGGTATTCCTAGATGATCATTTTCAACATCTGATAGTGACAAAAGTCAATGAATGAGATTTGTCAGCACTGTTTGGGAAAATAAATAAACAAATTGGTGATAACTATTGACTGACCTTAAATGCATCTGCAACTGGGCAGCACATTTGAATGTTTTATGGCACTGGTAGCATGTCTGTGGAATTTTTGGCGTTGGTTTGGGACCCCGTTTCTTGCGATCTTCCGGAGGTTTGGGTTTGTATCTGCTTCTGCCACTTGATTTCCTTGATATAGAAACAAAATCGTTTTTCAGAAATTCTTTAAATATTCAAAATAGTTGTCTCACTTTTTGACCGTTTTTCGTTCCACTTCGTCGGACTTTTTCACGGAAAGCATCCACGAATCATCCGTCATGGTTTCCTTGTCTATCGAATTGGAATAAACGCCAGTCATCAGTCCGATGTACTGTCTCAGCCTCATATCGGAGTTTTCGCATTGTTGTTTGAGATGAAATGCAACTCCCAAACGGTACATGCAATTGTTGCAAATTGTCGTTGGTAATCCATCATTTTTCGATACCTAAATTTGTGAATATGCGTTTAAGAAATACCATACCAAGCAAATATTGCAAATCAAATTTCACCTTAATGTTGGCACACATCACCAACATATCGGCAGGAGCCATCGCCACCAGATCTGTGTTGAAAATCGACGTAAAAACGCCTTCCTCCAGACAAACGCGACATAGTCTACTGATATTGTAATCCATTGCACCGATTGCATTACTTACAATCAAAACACAATCATTGCTACGATAATTTTCCTTTTGCAAAAAATAAACTCAATTATTGATGGGTCTGCTTGGTGTTGTTTATGTTTTGCCACTCACAGCTGAACAGAATCGACGAAACCATGACAGCTGACGGGAGCGCGTGGTTTGATGAGTGGCGTGAGTGGCAGCCATTTTTGCCATTTCAAAATTGCTCACTTTCACTGGCACGCAAGCACACGTGCGTTCAACTACGACCACATGTTGCATGCAAGGTTGAAACCAAAATAGCAACTTACCACGTTTGATCGATAACCTAACCGGAAGGAATCACTCTAGCAACCGGGTAGTCTGTTTATCACTGACGCCAGTTTGTGTCATTGCCACTGTGAAAGCGGAAATCGGTTTAAAACCTGTTGTGAAATCATGAATCCTGAGGAACATCCAACTTCCAACTTCAGCGTACAGGCTGATGAGTTCAATGCCTCGATCGTCGATCAATCGGGGGTTCTGGAGAAGGATCATCCGTTGCTGGATAGATTCCAATCGGCACTCAAGGCTCATTTGCTCCGAGTGAAGGACCAACTGGAGGAGGAAATTGCTGAGTTGGATCACCGTCTGGAGCGAAATGAGAAAGAGTCTGAAGAGGTAGGATCCCGGCTGTACGATCTGCAGGAGGAGATCGATAACCAAAAGGAACTACTGGATATCTACAACAAGGAAATCATGGAAGTGTCGGGAAGAAGACAAGTTGCCGAACAAGCGGCAGCGGAGTACAAGAAAGAGCATGATGATGAAAATCGCAAGTTTAAGGAGTTTAAGAAGATCTACAACGAGCACCTGCAGGAGTTGGACAATCTGGCGGCTCTTGAGGGTGAATTCTCCAAGTGGGACAAGGAGATAAAAGATGAGATCGCACTTGCCAAGAGGGTTACCAGTAAGGATGCGAAGGATCAACTTGCTGCGGCGGAGGAGAAGCGTAAAAAGGACTTGTTGGTGTTCAATTTGGACGCGGAAGTTCGCAGGAAGGAACAGGAGTTGGAAGGCATTGAGGAGCAGATCAAAGAGCAGGAAAGTGCCACGGAACTTATAAATAGGAGTTTGGCGGATGCCAATTCCGACTTGGAAGGGTTGCAGCATGAACACAAGAGACTGTTTCAATCTTGGGGAGAGGTCATAGTGGCCATCCAGCAAAGGGACAGGGTTTTATCCAAAACAAAAGATGATTTAGAGTAAGTTTCTGTGGAATCATTTTGTGTTTGGTGTAATTTGCTTAACGATATCTGGTTTCAGGGGTGTTTACGAAGAGCATAAAGTAATCAAGAGTAAGACTGACATCACAAAAAAGTCCGCTGCAAAGGAAATGGAACAAAACGAAAAACTATCAGGATTCAAATCCAGGATCCAAGGAGATATTCACGTGCTGGAGAAACAAGGTTTTCCGGTAGGCTAGGTTAAAAAATAGGCTCATATTATTTCTTATTACAGTTAACAAAGAACAAGAGGAAGAGGATAAGCTGTCACGTGAGTTGGATCATTACGCGCTGATTTTGGAGCAAACCGAGGCGGACATGCTGAAGGCTCAACAGGAGGGTCTGTTGATCGAGAACCACTTGAAATCGTTGCGTCAAACGCTAAACAGGCAGCATCAGAAAAAGTTTGAGCTGGAGGAGCAAATTCTGGAGCTTTTGCAGGATCAGCTCACTACTGATAAGGCCGGCGAAGCTCAAGGAAAGACACTGAGAGAAGCACAGGATAAACGACGGGAGCTGGAGATAGCAATGTCCGATACGGAGAATCAGTTGTCGATTGTTCTGCTGGATCTGGAAAAGTGGCGTGGAGTTGTTGAAAGATCCAAAGGAGAAGTGCAGAAGATAAAGGTGATAATGCGTTAGAACTCTGAGCATGTTAAATTTACATTGAAAGTTTCTTGAACTATTTTAGACTGAGCACGATTCATTGGATGCTGATGCTATGAAATACGATGAGGAGATAAAGGTCATCAAAGAGATCATTTCCGCAAAATTACGCCGGTTGGATGGACTGAATCGTCAATTGGAGCAGTTGATCACACTGGCTGGAGGTCAAGAGCTGAACCCGGATGAGCTGAAGCTGCTGGACGTGCAACATGACATAATGGAGCTGGACACGAAGATAAAGGAGGCTCAGGAGACTTGGATAAAGCTCCAGAACAGCGTCGTAAGTCTTTCGGAGAAGCGTGTTCAACAGTTGAATGAGATCAACTATTCCAGGAAGAGTGAGTTCTTTTTCCTTTTTTTTTTGAATACCTGATTAACTGTTTTTTACATTTGAACAGAGCTTCTGCTGGTTGAACAGAAAGCCATCAAGATCGAAGCTCGACTGGAGGAAGTCGTCAACGAGAACCGTGAAATTGTACGCTCGCTGTCGGCTCTCAATTCCCGACTGGACGCTGTCAGCCTGGAGCTGTTCAAGACTAAGAAAGTGCACCAGAAGGAAGAGATGGAATGTGAGATATCTCACCAGCAGACAACGGACCGTTTAAAGGATGCCGAGATGTCCATCCTCAATCTGGAGCAAGATTTGAATGATCTAGGTAAAGAAATCGAAGAGTGCAAGCAGGAGGTGCTGGAGAAGCATCGGGAAGCTCTTTCTTGGGAAACTAAGTACAAAATGTCCGCTGAAGCAAAGAAGTTCAAGGAAGAGGAATCCGCTCAGAATAGCGAAATTGGAATAATGAAAGCCGAGATTCATCGGATGCAAGTACGTTACGTTCATCTCAAGCGAATGCAAGAGAAGCTGGTAACGGACTTGGAGAACACGGTGCATCACAGAGAGCACATTTACGATACGGTAAACGCAAGGGAGAAGGTCTATGGCAGCAAGTACAAGTCACGCTCCACCATGCAGCATAAGATCAATGAGTTGAAAAATAAGTTGAAGGTTGTTTTCGGGGAGATATCGGATGCGGAGAAGAACTTGATTGAAATTGATACGGCACAGAAACTTCTGCAAGCGGAAATTGAAAATAAGAAGCAACAGATGGAGGAAGAGAGGATTCAGACTAGCTTGATAAGGTCTGAGGTGGAACAAGCAACGTTGTTGAAGCAAGACGTAAGGATAGAGGTTGCCGTTTTAAAGCCAATTGATAGATGGATTCTTTCTTTTCAGAACTTGGACTACATCGTTCGCCATCAGTATCGCGCCAGACGTTACAGGGCGTTTGCCAGTGCAATTCATTTGCCGAAATTCCGCAATGAAATACTGATTCAAGCAGATCTTCAACGCCAACGGGAGATCAATGAAACGATTGTCGGAATCGTTGAAAATCTTCTCCTGGATTTTCCCGGCCAAAAATTCAACCTTACCAAAATTATGCAAACGCTGAAGTAATGTTCTTCAAATTTTTAAAAACTTCGGTATGGCGTTTAATGATTTTCCAGAGTGAGTTTGGTGTGATTCTTAAAAAATAATTTAATAAAACTTTATTTTCGATCAACAATACAACATTGAGGTTTTTTTTCTAATACGTAATGTCACTACTAATCTATAAAGGGAAATCTTTTACAGTACTCTTGGTTTGAACTTTGCAGGTATTCGTTCAGTTTTGCATAGTAATATCCGCCGTCCTCGTTTAGATATAAATCATGTGCCAGTTCATCCATTTCCGCGCAGCATACAGCTTCGCTGAATGCTCCGAGGAAGCTTAGGAAACGGAAGGTGTTTTGCTTGATGTTCAGAATGTGGTTGTCGTGCTGTTCGTGATGGCGTTTGTTAATGGTCACTTTCACTGCTCCGGCCGGTTGTTGTACCATCAGCAGAGGTTCCATCGGTTTTAGGTCCACATTTAAGCTTGGTTCGTCAAACATCTTCATGACGTACGATACCACCAGGAAGCAAACGGCATTCATGGGGAAAGCTCGCAGCAGCGTTGATGCCAGTCCGCGGGACAAAAATGCAAGACCCTCTTCTGCGTGGCTCTTTCGTAAGCAATCTACGATCCCGTTGTACAGTGGTTTTCCGGCCATACCGTCCGCTTGCAGTCTTGACTTTACTACATCTATGGGGAACGTAAACAACCAAGAAATGGTTCCAGCAAGACCACCGGCCATCAAGATGACAAAAGGCGAAGGATTAGCTACAGAACGCACCATCAGCTCGTAAGCAACAAAATAACTCGAGAAACCTGGCATATCACGAGCTGCTGTGATTCCCAGCCCCCGGAATAGGCCACGGAATCCTTGAGTCTTCCAAATATGTCTAGTACAATCCATCGGACCTTTGAACTTGAAAGCATCTTTCGGTAGATTATCTTGCAATTGAAGTCTCGTCTTGATCAGCTCCATTGGAGAACAAATAAAGCTCTGTGCCAAGCCCGCCGCACTACCTGCCAAAAAATGAGAATACAACGAATCCGGGTTGGCAGTGCTTCGTTGGATATTTCCGTAAACACCAAAAACGATTGCATTGACTGCTGCCACTCCCGCCATTGGGCTGGACATTCCACGATACAGTCCGCGGACGCTTTCTTTGGCGATGATCTTGCGGAAGCAATCGAGCGTTCCTTTGTACAGCGGATTCCGGTAGTCCTGCGTTTGTAGGTGGACTTTAACCGTATCGAAAGGGTAACCGGCCAGAACACCGGCGCAACCTAAAAATAGATGATAATCTTGTAAGTTTTCCATTGGCACGAGATCACTCTTATCATATTGGCGAATGAGTTTGTAAGGTTTGTTGACATGAAATCTCCCGTGATTGCCGGCGGTAAATATTTTGAACCCATTTATTCTCATAATCCCGATGGTTAGTGAAAAACATACCCCGGGTTGTTATCATGCATCCGATGACATGTATGCAATTTCCAATGATGGTGAACATGACCCCTCGGAAGCCGGGAGCAACAGATTAAGTCGTTGATGATAATCGCTCCTGTAATATGGTTATTTTGAGTTGGTACTCGGTCAAACATGCTGATCAAGGAAGAACTGATGATAATGGAAGGAGCTGAAACCTTGGCAGTGAGTTTGCACTCAGCTCACTAATGGCCGTATCCCATTCCCTGCGCAGTTTGTGTGCCCGTGTTATCA